AACATACTTTACGACGTTATATTATTTCGAAATAATAATAATAAAATCCATGAAACGTCGGGCTTTGCACGGAGTCTGTGGCCGGTCCCGCGGTCCTCTATGACTTGGTCTTTAGGATGTCTTAGTGGTGGTAGTTGTCAGACTCTTCTTGCCGCACGGAAGCTAGTAACTACACCAACAAAAACACCCAGAAAGATTTTATAAGGGTAGCAAGGTGTGCACATCTTTAGGAAACACATTGGTCCTATCAAACCAGGTGATAATAGTGTGGAAGTGGTCGTAAATTCTCGATACCACACTTTCGTGTGCCTCCTTCACACAGCGAGCGACAACTTTGGTTGACAAAGAGGTGTAATAGGGAAATAAATAGGTCGTGACCGACGTCACTCATAGAGGGTAACGAAACTTTATTTGTTTATTTTAATGGTAAATGACAAAAGAACAATTTCACTAAAGAAACGAAATACTCTCTCACTTGTGTAAGCCCAGGTTAAATGGACACTGTAAAGTCTACTTTAATCGATAAAAAGTTTTGAACTACACACAATTTCCCACCTGATCTTATCACACTATTTTCAGTTTCCATGGATATTACGTTTTAGGTGAAGAAGTTGTACACAGGAGAAGAAGTACAGAGAAGATGTAGTGTACCAGGGGAGAAGAAGTACAGAGAAGATGTAGTTTGTACACAAGGGAGAAGAAGTACCAGAAAGAAGTGTAGTTGTACACAGGGGAGAAGAAGTACAGAGAAGATGTAGTTGTTCACCAAGGGGAGAAAGAAGTACAGAGAAGATGTAGTTGTGGGGGGAACACAGGGAGAAGAGTACAAGAGAAGATGTAGTTGTGCACAGGGGAGAAGAAGTACAGAGGAGAGTAGTTGTACACAGGGGAAGAAGAAGTCGAGAAGATGTAGTTTGTACACAGGGGAGACACCTTTCTCTGAGAACCTTTCTAAGTCCTTGTTTCTAAGAGAGAGAAAAACAGGACTAGGTAAAGATATTTTGGACAGAGTTTTACTCGACTAGTCTAAAACCGGTTGAAATACTGGAACAGTAATTACTACAAAACAGAACACATTGGTAATCGGTTAGTCGTTGGTTCCAGTAAATTCTGCAAGACTCGTTTGCCACTTTGATTTTTTGAAGTCTGTAATCTGACGTAACTCGTAATTGTTATCGTAGGGTAAAGATTAAATTGATGATTGAACGTTGTACTACTCTACAATAATTTTTTCCCGTTTCTATGTTTCTGTGTCGAGATCAAGCAAAAAAAATTAATTGTACAAGACGAAGGTGACACATTGGAAAGACTGTGCAAATAACCGTTTGGTGGGAGAACAAGAACCAATTTTTATAGAAGGGAGTAAAGTTTACTGGGAAAGGTGTTTACAATTTGTGCACAAAAATTTACAACGAATAAGACATCTTTTAGCCTCTTTTCGGACCTCAACTTTTAGTACAATGAATTACACCCTGCCACCAAAAAGAGAAATCAAGTGTACGAAAGGAGACGTGGAATCACTGGACTTACACTTTGAGACTGGAGACGGTCCTAGTGTCGACGTGACGTAAGGAGGTGTAAAGTAAAGTTCCAAAATAGGCGTACGACGTTCTTCAGACCACTAGATGTTAGACGCACTGAAAAATCACAAAATATCAAAAAAATTTAACAAAAACATAATTTGAAGTATGGATTTGGAAGGTAGAATTCTACTTCGTGTAAGGTTCGTTACTAAGTTCCTGTCAGACTAAATAATCGTCGTTATTTCATGCATTTTTTCTGCAAATGATAAATTATCTTTCTGTCAGGTCACCGATACTCAATGGCCTTCGGGACTTTCCGGTTTTTCTTTTTGGTTATAAAACCATTAATAACAGAATCAACAAAAAGAGAACAACAAATACTGAATTTTAGATTGCCTTTGTACATAAACGACCCAATAATAAAGGAATTTAGGAACTTTTTAATTCTTTACCGGTCGGTAACGACAGAAAAGAAAGGACGACGATTTTTTTTTGACCATTTTAATAGATTATTAAAAATAATTAATCAGTCTATTTAAGGGAGAAAAAGTAGTCTTTAGTTAAAGATTACAACAACGACACTAACAGGTTTAACGCACAAAATTCGTTCAATATGTTGAAAATGAGATGAATTAATGTTGTAAGCTTTTCTCCACCCTTCTCACATTTGAGTTAAATTTAGGGTGGGGAAGAAGGGGTTTTGATTTAAACTAATTGTATATTTATAAAAAAAAAATATCTATTTTTAATTTGTTTTATGACGCTTGTGGGTCAATTGAATGAAATATAAAAAAAAACAATTAAACATTTAGAGTTGGTACTATAAAAGATGAATAGAAACAAATAAAAGTCATAAAAATTAACAATAACATGTTACGGTACAGAAATACGACGACGTTGTGTAGGTAAATGGTTTAACCCTAGTTAATTCATGAAGAATAGAAATAGAATACAATAGAATTGAATAGAATAGTATCCTGAATTATTGTCTTTGACAAATCCCGGTGATCTACAGGGACGACATGTTCTCTTCCTGTGTTTTTCTTTCCTTTCGGTAATTTGGGAGGTAACCAGAAGCAAGGGGGGGGGGGGGGGGGAGGGGGGGGGAAATGAAACACAAGCGCCAGGGGTTAACCCTGGCCAGGACATAAATTGACGATAATGTAATTGAGTTTTTGGTAAATTAGTAGTGGTTTAAAAAGTAATATTGTTGGGAAAGTTTGACATCGATAACATAGTCTGATGACCATATGTACTTGTTGACGTCAATTATATGTTTCTTATCTGTGACTTGTACACATAACGCACCGGACACACTAGGTAACACCCCCTACCCGTGTATTCACTCAGCTTTGACAGTCTGGAAAATTAGACACAAAATTATGATAGACAAAGTTTCGTGAGCGGACTCGCCACTAATTTAGAGTAACATAGACATGTTACCCTGTTATTTTTCGAAAAAACCTTAAAAAACTTTAAACTTCCCCGCCCTTTTAATACACAACACAAAATAGACTAGGCTACACATGATTAAGGGAAAAGAAATACCGCCAGTAAAAACTGGCCCCTTTGGTACCCCACGAATGTTTCAACTGATTTAGTAGGTTTTTAAGTTGATTCACCACTAGTCGTTAAAAGATACAAGTTTACAGATGAAACCTTCTCTATAGGTATTTCGGATTACGTTAGCTTACATTTTGTTTTTTCAATACTAACTACTTTCATCATTTTAAGCCAGTCTAAACTGGGGCTCCTGTTGTCCTCCCAATTTCTTCTGTAATAACCTTTTATCCCTCACAGGGAAAGACAAATTGTTTTCGGTCTATACGAGGGAACATCAAAAAATGTTATGATCGACCAACACTTACGGTGGTAATCAACAATAGGAGGTCTTATAAATACCTTAGAGTGTTGACCTCTTTTTATTTTTGGCAGAATTTACCACGCAGATTTCTAAAACCTAAATCCATTTCTCCTATTTTGTACACCTTAGTCCCCGGTTTCTACACAACCTACGTGTATGACCAGTCAAGGAAATGTTCTACAAAGTTTGTTATTTTTTGTAATAACTTTCGAATAAAAAGAGAGAGTCTGTAGGAAACATTATGTTATGTCCATTAGAGTCATCTCACCTCTAGGGGCGGTCCACGGAAGGTCTGTTTGTGGCGTCACTACAAGCCAGACTTACTATGTTTGGTGAAAAAACAAAATGGAACTGTACGTTTGCGCCTTGTTACCCTTCCTTTGTTTCGGTGTCAAGGAAGTGTCTCCTTCATCCACAACTAGTGGGATGTTAAATATTAAAGAGGTCATATTCTGCTTATTTTCAGTTTCATTTTAGCATTTAGTGTCTCTACTGGGACATGTCTCCATGCTTTCATGTTCAAAAAGCTCTTTATTGTTCTCATACTGCCTGTGCTGCAGCACCTCTTTTCACCCTCTGTCCGAAACCAGAGCCCAGTCTTGTGATTGGTCAACCGCTTAGAGATGTCCCGCCCCTTAGCCTATCACGTACATTGTGTACAACAGATGTGCAAGTGTTACATAGTGTCACTATTTGCTGGAAGTAAACAAAGGAGTCCAGCGGAGGCGTTTCAGGCAGGGCCCCTTTAAACTAATAGAGTTTAATGCGTTTTAGATTAGCGGCCCGAAATAAGGTCTGTGGTTAACACAAGCTGAGGAGATTTTCAGGTTTTGTTCTACGACATAAAATCATCAGTAAATTCCCCACTGGTAAACTTTCTAAGCTTTTACGTGTTTAAAAAAACAGCGGTTGCTAACAAGTGTTTAAATGAGACGACTTAACGTCATCACGCCCAACATTAGCCGCCTTTAGCTTAGCGGTGGCTACGTGAAGTCAAGAAACCGTGCTTTATTTCCTTTATAGCCCAACATTAGCCTCCTTTAGCTTAGCGGTGGTGACGTGAAGTCATGTGACCGTGCTGTAGTTCCTTTATAGCCCAACATTAGCCGCCTTTAGCTTAGCGGTGGTGACGTGAAGTCATGTGACCGTGCTGTAGTTCCTTTATAGCCCAACATTAGCCGCCTTTAGCTTAGCGGTGGTGACGTGAAGTCATGTGACCGTGCTGTAGTTCCTTTATAGCCCAACGTTAGCTTTTTACTTTTGGCAGTTACTATTATGCTTCGAATTTGATACAAGTGGTGTTATAGTATCATAGACATGTGTTTGCCAAATATATAGATTCTGCAATATTCTGAAAGCCAATGGAAAAATCCCATTGGCTTTTTGTTGAACGAGAAAATATGTTTTGTAATACAAGCTTTCTGAATTGATAATAATAACGATGATAATGTAAACAAATTAGCTACTTGTGTTGAATTTAAAACAAAAGTTAGTCACATAAAAACATAAACGTCTAATCTTCGGGTGTTTTCTAGAAATACTCATGTCATGCAAGCTTAATACTCTCAAAATGCATTAGTGGTTGAAACAAACCTGTTGTGTCTCACCCGAAAAACTAAGATATACAGTAGAGCAGGCGGTGAAGTATTTTTTGCATGCATGTTTTTCCATGAACAGACAGACAACATTTAATCACCTTCTTCTGACTCTGTGCTCTCATGAGAGTCTACGGGAAAAACATGGAATGAGGTTAAGCATAAATGATGATAAATGGGATTTTTTATATGTTATGAATGATGGAAAAATGAAGGTATTTGGGGGGGGTGGGAGCTGTACCATAGCAGACGCAGAAAGAAACCGCAGCAAAAACTGCCAGAAACTGGATAACGCTCTTCATCTTGAGACCTGCTGGAAACGAGAACAAAGAGGTGTTTCAGTGAGGCGTCGTCAGATAGGAAAAGAAGGAGAAGTAACACAGAGAAAGTGGCTCAGACTTTTTTTAAATGTGGGTAAACGGTGAAGAACCACAGATGGGTGAAAGTGGCAACGTTTCTAAATCTGTGTTTGAGGTTTAGTGCATACGACCGGCACGTATACATATATACATGCTGGCAATTTGATCCAGACTTCACATGGCAAACACCAGAGTTATATGTATGTATAACAGATGTGCATGGATATGGAAAAGGGCTTCATAGAGCACCAATGCACACACTCCTGCAACAGCTGGAGCTTGGTTTGTTAACTTCAATTATACTACTCATTATGTAACTCCTATATGCTTTTTCATTGGTCGATGTTATCTAACACAGGTGAGGTTTTTAGGTTATTTTATACAGCAAATGTAGAACACAAAGGTGACTCAAAGTGCGTACATAAGCGTTAACACACAAACAATAAAATATTAAATATTAATGCATATAAAAATTACAATAACAATACAAATTAAAATGTTAAAATTAAATAGAAATAAAAGCATTAACACACAATAAGATAAGTGGCATTGTGATGACGAGTGCAAACAATCCCAAAAGTAGGTTTCTGCATTTAGTTAAAACAATAAAATACAATGAAATGTTTTACAAATATATTAAAATGGTGTTAAAATAAAAGCCTTAACACCCAATAAAATGAATACAAATGGAAATAAAATGAATGAAAGAGAAAGAAGGTTGTTTAAAATCAGCACTGTAAATCCAGATGAGTGCTAAATTGAGTTTAAAATACATTTTTAGGAGCTCCAAATGTAATCTCTACATCGGAAAATGTGTTCTTCTCTGGTTTCTGGGCTTAAGAGAGAGCAGCTGATGTTTACAAATATTAATTAAAATCTCCAATAACATATTGCAGTTGTTCATTTATGAAGGATTGGCTGTGATGCAGGGAAACAACATTTTATACGAGGCAGGTTTTCTACACATCTGCACTCTATCACATGCAAAACTGACAGTAAGGTGTTTGACATCTGTACAAACAGATATAACAGATGTGTTTAGCAGACCAACACACACACACACACACACACACACACACACACACACACACACACACACACACACACACACACACACGTCTGCACAGCAAAAAAAAGCTTTCATAACAATCTTCTGTTTGTGGGATATGGAAGGGATTCTGTTTCACCAGCAGCCCTCCTTTTTGCCATCAATAGCAGCTTTCATTACATATAAACACTTGCCAACACACACCAGCAACAGACACACACGCACACACGCACCTACGCAGGTATATCTTGGCTTACAGACTCACAGTGGGCACAGAAACACAGAGTTCACAGACTGGCAGAAAACATCTAGATGTGTGTGTGTGTGTGTGTGTGTGTGTGTGTGTGTGTGTGTGTGTGTGTGTGTGTGTGTGTGTGTGTGTGTGTGTGTGTGTGTGTGTGTGTGTGTAGTGCTGACCTAAGTGTCTGCAGAGCTTTTATGCCTGTCTGAGTCTTAGCAGGGGTCCTGGTGGGGTTTGATTCCCTGCAGGCAGAAAGTGCCCACCTCAAAGGAAAAAGCCACAGGCATGATGCTGGCACGCAGAACACCCTGAGGCTGCATATTGAAATACTTATTGTTTTTACGAGTTGTACATTGTGCACATTTTTACTTTAACTCTTTAGTTGTATACAAATATTTTGTTATTTAATCTTTAATTGTATCTTCTTCATATTTTTTATTTAATTTTGTATTGCTCATCTTTACTTTATGTTGATGTCAGTATTTTCTTTTTTATTTCAACTTGTACTTTAACTTCTTAAATGTATGCAAATATGTTTGTTTTTTATACACTTCTCATTGCACACTTTACTTTAAACGTATCTTATATGTTTCTCTATCTCAATTTTATTCTGATTTTAATACTTTTCACAAATTCAAATGAGTACTTTAGGCCTGTTTTAGTTTGAGGATTGCATGTTGCAGCAATAAATAAGAAAACATGAATTAAACGAATCAGGTAATTCATCAAATGAGTCGTGAACAACCTCTACCTTTCCCCTGCCTTCAGAATACTGGCTTTAATGTACTCACCGTTAAGGATAATTATGTCGTCTTGGAAAAATCTCGCTCTGTGTATTTTCTCCCCAGGAATATTCCCCAATTCTTCACAGCAACTCTTTTTATACGCACCTCTCTCCCC